TGTGGAGGAGGGAGGAAAAGGACGAGGAGAAGGGAGGAAGAGGATGAAGGAGGAAGGAAGAGGAAGGAGAGGGAAGGAGGGAGGAGGGAGGACAAAGAGAAGGGATGGGAGGAGGGAGTAGGGAAGCGGAAGAGGAGGGAGGGAGGAAGGAGTGGGGTGGGGGAGGAGGGAAGAGTCGATCGTCGCCGCCGTCGTGGTCGACGACGACAAAAATCACCCCCCACAGGCGGCGCGGAGGCGGTCCACGCGCTGCCTTGGTGCGCCCCGCCCGGGCGCCGCCCCCGCGCGCGGCCGCCTTCTCCAGGCCGGGGGGCGCGCACATGGCCTCGCGTCGACCGGTCCAGCCACGCCACGAAGGAGGGACCGGGGATGGAGGAACATCGAGGATCGGGGCGGCCGCCGAGCGCGCCCCGATACTCCTCGATCCTCGATGGACGCCTCCGGGGCCCCGAGAATCTCGACAGGGACCCAAACTTCCAAACCCTCGTTCTTCGACGCTTCCTGGAGGAAGAGGGGGCGGGAGGGGGAGGGGGAGGGGGAGGGGGAGGAGGGGGAGGGGGTGGAGGAGGAGGAGGAGGAGGAGGACGAGGAGGAAGAGGAGTACGCAGCATAGAAGGGAACCGTCGCGCATAACACAAACGGCCACTTTCAAAGGGCCCACTGCCTTGGCAGCGGGCCGAGCGCTGCTCGCGGCACCACTCGGTGCCCACCCAAGGGGGGTCGCGGCGGAGAGGCGCCACAACGCAGCTGTGCAACAAATAAGTGAAAGCGAAGAGCTTAGATTTGTGATGAATTCGCGAATTAATCAACATGCATTAGGCGTCTACGCGAAGCCAGGCGACCTCTGGGTCGGCAACTTGCAAACGTCTCTGCCCCGAGATGCTCTCAAATCGGTGCAGATCGGCAGGATGCCTGTTAGTATTAAACCTGTGGATGTGGGAATGACCTCGCTTGGAAACTGGGGGCGGGGGGCACGGGTCCAAAAGTGAGGACGCTCTCCCCATAGAAATCCCTCCACACAACAGACAAATGACAACCTTGCCTGGGGCCACGAAGAGTTCGTGCCCCCTGGCCGCGCACGGAGGAAGGTCACCTTGCTCGGGCAGCTCGGCCACGGGACGCGCACTCGGCGCAGTCGAGCCCCACGAAGGGGCAGGCGGCGGGCCTTGCACGGCGGCTTAGGCTCGTCGGAGGAGCGAGGGTGAATTCGATCGGCAGCAGCAGAGGCGGCAGCGTCGACGTCGCTTCGGAAACGCACCCTTCTCTCGCCTGCGAGCGGAAAAGCATCAGAGGCGAGGCCAGCATGACGTATGCGCGGGGGGAACTCTCTCCGCGATCGGCTCCGAAGCGGCTCTGGGTACCCTTCGGGGGGCCTCGGGCGCGCTCGGATCCCGTCCGCAACTCCTTCCCGCGAGACCCCCCCGCCCAATCTATCGCGAGCAGCGAGCTTAGCTGGACAGACTCGGCGCACCAGCATCTTGCGTTGGGCCTCGGAGCAAGTGTTGCGGCCGCAAGTGAAACATCTCCAACCACCACGCACAGCATACATAGTATGCAAACAGTTTTGAACTTGACCAGCACCCCCCTCCGCCCGCGACAACCGAAGGCGACGACGTTCGTGGAAACGTTTCTGGCCAGGGGGGGCGGTCCGTTCCATGTATAAAGTGTGTGCTTTGGCCATCAAAACAAACGTTTTCTTGACTGACAACGCTGAAACGAGCTTTCACGGCCTTCACCTGGGCATGCGGAGCCGCGTGGAGGCCCCTGCCTTGGACGGCAGCAATATCGGCCCACCGATTCCCTCGGGCCTCAACAGATCGACCTGTCTGATGGCATGGCGTGAAAAGAATCTTCAAATCTGGGCTCAGTCCTCCAAGATCCTCTATTCTCGTCCAAGTCTTGGTCCACAGATCTGCGCCCGGTCGGCGCGGCCAGCAGCGCAAACGTTTGCCTCTGGCAAGACCCTGTGGCAGCTCGATGAAGTCGGCCCACACTGACACTGGAAACAGAGCCACCTTGAGGAGCTGGGCAACCGCATGCATCTCGGCTCGCGGGCTGCTCTGTATTGGGCCAGGCAGAGCCCCAAAGACGCGCATCTCGACGGTCGATTCTGCGACTCGGGCGAAGCCCCACCCCGCGCGGGTGGCCTCCTTCCAATAGTGGCACTTGTGGCACGCCCCGCCCGTAAAGGCAACTCCTGACACAACCGAACAATCCCCGCATATGGAATGCCACCCCTTCGGGTTGTCACGTGGCGGTACTCCGGGCAGAAGAGCCTTGGAGTAGAGGCCGCGATTCCAAAACCAAGCAGTGGTGGTAGGATATGGCAAAACCTCGATGTCTGCGCCGTTGTAGAGCGAGTTCCCCCCGTCCCCCGTCGCATCACATACCCAAGGAATATGGAAGCAATCAGCTACAATGCGGGCGTCTAAAGTACATGTGGGGCTGTCAACATAGCCGAGGGAATGGCGACGGACAGGCGGCCAGAATCCACCCATGGCCAATGCGCGAAGTGCGCCCGCCTGCTGGAGAGACAGAACGCGAGGGCGCTCGGGGCCCTCATTTCCACGGGCCCGTTGAAGGACGGCCAGTGCAGGGTCCAGCCAGTAGCCTGTTGGTGTCTTGGAGCCCAGGTGCTCAAAACCTCGGTTGGGCCCGCTGGCCCAGTCGATCCACGACCCCCGCGCTGCGGCTTCGCAAGCAAGGTACTTGAGCGCACGGGGAGAGAAAGTCCTCGGGTCCAAAACGTCTCCAAGGTCAGTCCGAACATGCAAGGCCGAAGGCGCAACCCATCCAAGCTATGTCATAGCAAGTACCGCGGCCCCTGCAGGTCCTCCAGCGCGCCCCCAAGGATGAGCAGATTGCAGCACCGCTGGCGCCGTGCGCTGCCACGCCTGTTGTAGAGTGCCGTGGTGCCCCGAGTCCCAACATAGAAGGCCCCGCTGGTATATAGGGTCGACCCAAGCCGTGATTGAGGGCCCTGCGATCCCCCACTGCGAAGGAAAGACGATAGCCAAGCAGAGCCCCCCTTCCCAGGTGCATACCACGAGCCCCTGAGGGCCGCGCGCATAGCCCGTGCAAATTGCGGCGGCGCTCCGTGTGCGCCCGCGCCATGCGTCAGAGCAGATGGGATCGCAGCCTTAGCACATCGGCAAGCCAACTGTCCTGCCCTCTTGATACGTCGGAGTCGTGTTTGGCGCCTCTGCATCTTGCGTAGTCGACTACGCAGGCGTGAGAACTTGAGAGATTTCCCTGGTGATGCCTCCACGCCGAGAACCTCCAAATAATCGAGGGAACGATTTCCCAGATCAAACAATACCCGACACACCCGCTTCGCAATATGCATGTAAGTTGCTGTGACTGTCATCTTCCTCTTGGCGGGAGCCAGTTGTAGATGCTGCAATGCATCGACCACCCCTGGCAAAACCTGGCAGGCATGTTTCGGCATCCGTTCCCGGCTGGCCACGATCTGCATCGTGAGACCGTCAGCGCACACATGCAAAGCCATATCGACCGAGACCGAGGATGTCGCCAGATCGCCGAGGGGGGTGAACATGACCAGCTATAGCATGTACATCGCCAAGCTACACCCAGGCAAGACTCCCCGATATGCCCAAACACCTCCCGAGTAAACTCCTGACCACGAAAATCTACGAGGGGCGACATACATATGTAAAGCGAGAACCAGTAGGGGCCAGGGAACCCGCGTTGGAGCCCCGCGCGCACGATGATAGCGCACCCCACGCGACCGAAGCACTTCTCAATGTCAACAGTGGCATGTACACACACAAGGTCGTCGCAGCGCATATTTTTCTGAAGCGGGCGCGCCTCTCCATGAAGCAAGACCCGCGCTGCAACGTCTGTCGTCGCACGGTTGGCGCCCAGCGCCAAGTTGTCACGACCGAGCAGATTCGCCCAGTCTCTCACAAAATCCAATCGGGCCTTGGCACGCAGGCGATATGGCGAAACCAATAAGGCGATCGGTCGGTAGCCACCTACAGGCTTCTGTAGTAGGACTATGTGCACCTGCTGCATGTATCTAAGCCATGCTCCCCACTGTTCACACACGTAGAAGAAATGCCCCGAGACTGCCAAAGCCTGATCCGACACAAGGGCCCAATGAGGAGGCCTCCAAGAGTCCGCCCCCGCAGCGGTTCTGACGGGGCAGGACTCGGCGGCCTTGCGGAGCCTGGAGGTCCCAATGGGCGGCGCGCGAAGCCCAATATCCCGCAGACGGTTGGGTTCATCTTGCAGGGGCTCAAGCGAGGTCGGTGCACCTCCCCCGCCCCAGGTGCCCCCCAAAAAATCTCGCTGCGCATTGGCCACATCGTCGTCGTAGTTGGAAGGGGCCCAAGGAGGTGTGTACCTGGCTGAGCTGCCACCCTTTCGGTTTCGTCCATCTATGAACTGGCTTCGGGCGATTGCTCAAGCTGTCGCGTAGCCACTGCGAAAGAAAACCCTTGCCACGAGCGCGTGCCACGCGTTGTTCCCCACTGACCCGCCAGCGTCGCAAGGCTCGCTGCAACCGCTCGAAGCGCCGGAACATGCATCCAAGTGGGTTGCGAAAAGATAACACTGAGGTAGTATGCAAGCTCGGCCAGGCGCATTGCTGGCATCACTTGCGCCAAACGCGCAAGCCGTCCTTTCCCAGCAATGAGATCTCGTAGCGGTTGCCACGCTGAATGATGCTTGGCTTCGGGAATCGACCCGTGCTTGCGCGCCGCGCGGGCAAGGTCCTCAACTCGGCGCTGTAGCGTCAGTAGAACACGAGAGTATGTAGTGCCAGCAGGCTTGTGCTGCGATAAACTTCAGCCAGCGATGCTGCGATGGTATTCGCGCCCACTTCCGCGCCCAGCATGCTTGGAAGGATCGTCGCACGGGAAGAGCGGGAGCAGCTCCTTCCCTACCCCACGGCACACTGCTTGACACATGTTATCAAGGCGATCTTGTCTCGCATCATCCGTCCCAGAGATGTGCATCGGCCTCCGTGAGTCCCATCCAAGAACAACCAGGATGCCCCAGCTCAACCGCATTCGCAAGAGGACCGTCGTCGCTTTCCAACAGTGGTAAGCATGCTGGCTTTGGCGCGCATAGGCTCGGGGCCTTGAGCCCGACGACCTGCGGGGCTCTGGGTCGGGGCCCGACGCCCACGGCCATCGGGTAGCGCGGGCGGGCAGGGCAATCCGCAACCCGGCGAGCGCGCGCCATCTCCGCCGCCAGGCTGCTGCTGGCAACCCAGTAATCTAGAAAAGTATGTTCACCCGTCTTTGCCACTCTGAGCGAGCTCTGTGAAGCAACGACCAGATGGCCGTCAATCTTCTCAACAAA